ACAACTGTTGCCTCATGTCGCCTGTGTCTTGGCCAAAAAGTTGCACATGAACACACTGCAAAGATGACAGCCGACAGCCAACCAGCATGTATGTTCGGCATCTGTGTGAGAGGAAATACCTGTCCACACCAGCAGACAGCGGTAGTCTGTGTTCATCATTCAAAAAGGGAAACAGCAAGACTGTTTTGATGCTAGTTTTAACAACACAATCCAATGTTGAAAGACCAGAGCATATTTACTGTGGGCCAGGGAAAAATGACCCTACCCGTCAAGAAATGTTTCTGCCAAAGAGCTCGATGGCTAAGAAAAAAAAAAAACAACTTACCTTACGTAGCAAATTTGTTTCTTCTCACGCCCTCAACTTTAGCTTTTTGCTTGCTTGTTTTGTAAAAGCCAACAAGGGCCGAAGAGAGCGGACGAGGGCCAACGGTGCAGGACACACCAAAAAGATTAGGGTGACAGATGCTCACCGACTGCCCGACACTGACCAACGGCCAACAGTCGGCTTGGTGTGTCAGGGCCTCAAGGTTGCACTGGCAGATGTTATGATACCATCACGTTTTGAAGCAGCATTGCACACAAGGATCCAACATTTCTTTTAGTCCCCACCCACACTAATACGATTTCATCTTAAAATGGTGTTTTAAAACAAAAACAATCTCTATACACACCAGCATTTTAGCACCATCTCAGAAATAACTTTCATCCATACCAACATGCCTGAAAACGCATATCACATAACCATTCATGTACACTGGGCTTGTGCGTAGGTGTAAACAGGCAGATTGTCTGTTCTGCAGTGGGTTGCTTAGTTACAGAAAATAGTACGGAGATGGCAAAAGTCAGACCAGAGATTTCTGTGCTTGGACCAAAAAGGTGGAACAGTCACTGAAAGTAGCACATAGGGATGGGTACCGAACTCCAGTACTGAACGAGCCCCGGGGCTACATTCTTCAAGACCGCAGTATTGATAAGCTCTGACCTTAACGGTTCTGCTATCGGTACTGGAGCAGTCGCTTTTTTTTTTCTTTTTTTTTTACAAGATAAACGTTATCTTGCACATTTATCTCACCAAGTCCGTCAATTATCCGTCATTGTATCATAATTTTCGCTATTCTCCCTGAAGACGAGAGATCTGTCTCGCTCACCCTGGCTGCCTGCTGTGTGTGAGTGGAGAGCAGGGGGGCGGGGCTGTTGTTCCAGTGACACACACACACACAAACTCACACAGTGGTATATGACGTGTCAGAGGAGAAACGAGCCGTTCACATTTCTCTCTTTGTGTCAGGTAACGGTCCACAAACCTCACCGCACTTTAGGGACTGTTCTTTACTTATGAAGGGCCTGTTCTTTACTTGTCAGGGGAGGAGGGTGGCTGGTTGATTTTTATTTTATTTATTTATTTTATTTTGATCCCTGCTATGTTAATCACTTATTGATGCTGTTTTTGAAGTATGAATAAGTCAATAAGTAATTTATTCCATTGAAATATCATTGATGTATTATAGAAAAGTGATTTATCTTTTTATAAATGACAAAAGGCACATCTGCCTAATTTTTGCTGTGGTATTGTGATACTACTCAGAACCGTGATACTTTCACTGGTATTGTACTGTGGGTCCCAATTTTGGTACCGTGACAACACTATTATTTTATGTATTTTACATTTCAAGTTGTAAAAAGTAAAATGTTTTGTTAAAAAACTATTTTGTTGCATAATGAGAATTGAGAAAATAAAGCAATTTATATTCTTAATTTGTTTTTTTCTTCCTCAAAAAGTATCGATAAGAGTACCGTTAAAATACCGGATCGATAAGCAGTACCGATAAGAGTAGTAGTACCGTTAAAATCTTAACAATACCCATCCCTAGTAACACATGACTATAAGGCGGTCAAGGCAGCAGAAAACCAAATGGGAGTCGTTGCAAAACAAATCTTTTGACATATTAGAGTGGTATCAGGAGCATCCATCTCCGGAAGAAAGTCATGGCAATGGGAGAGGTGTACCCACACAAGGATGAAATCACAAAAGGTATGTAGGTGTGTAATGTTTTGGGCAAAATTGGGCACCTCGGATCAACTTGCCGATCCTCTCAATCGGCTCTGTGTGTCTAAACGCTCGCAGCTTGCCGGCAAAACGGCCCAACATTTGCCGAAAATCTGGCAGTGTAAAAGGGGCTTTTGTCTCCCCATTTGCTCATCTTTACAGTGTCAGGTTTGCGTTTCCCTCTTGCTACTAGCTGCTCATTTCTGCTATCAGCTGTTTCCTGTTTATCCACGGCCAGTGGGTCGCACGTGTGGCGTCATCAACAGCCCCTCCCGTGGCAGAAGGGCACCTCGTTCTTTTTAAACCACAAAGGTTCCGCCAATATGTCTACCCTTCGAGGGGGAAAATTGGGCACCTCGGATCAACTTGCCAATCCGGTTCTGTGTGTCTAAACGCTCGCAGCTTGCCGGCAAAACTGCCCAACATTTGCGGAAAATCTGGCAGTGTAAAAGGGGCAAGTGTCTCTTTCTGTTTGCAGGAGGGCGGGGCTGAGCTCCACACAGCAGTATAACCTCAGAGCAGAGCCCAGAGAAGAGGCAATAGCCCCTTTTAAACTGCCTCTTCAAGGCGGGAATTTCACACCATTATGCTGCCTCGCCGTTCTGTATAAAAGGTACGATTGAAGGATGGGGGACAGAGTTGTCTCTCCTTTAAGGCAATATTGGAGGAAGTAAAAGTGCCAAAATAATGTCTGTATAAACGGGACAGCTAGCAGGACAAGACCATGGGTGTGTGACCTTTCAATGATGTATTATGTGTGCAACCCATTGGTGGGAGATTTAAAAGGCAGCTGGAAGCAGTTAGCAGCTAACTCAACAAAGAGGAACAGTTGCCAAAAATGTCTGCAAACTGGGAAAATACTGAGGTCCAGGAGCTCCTTAACCTCCTAGCAGAGGACAAGATCAGCTGCCATATAACAGATAAGGTAAATGATTGTTATTGCCATGTTAATGCCATTGCTACTGTTTATAAAGCACTGCTGACATGTATATTACATGTCACACCACAGGCCAATGTTGTTGTGTTACATGTCAGGCCTGCTTGCTGACATGCTGTCCAAAATCACACACTGATGCGTAATGATGCTGCCATTGTTTAATTCTGTGTAAAATGCAAAGGAGTTATAAAGAAGGGACTTTGTAGCAGCTCAATAGCGCCATCTCTGTGTAAAAAGGACCAATGAAACAGGCTTTAGGATATATTTTACTGCAGTCACTAATGACCATGTTTATTATCCACGAGTGTAACAAATGAAGACAGTATGAACAATTTATCAAACACCTTATCGAACAAGCAGAACACATATTTGCAGAAATGTGACATCATGGACACCCTGTGTATACATTTTTTTTGCTTTATTTTTTGCATTGCACTGATTGATTGCAGGGAGTGTGGATATTTAAAATGGCGTTTCCACATGTACTCTGTTAACAAGTCTGAGGAAGAGCCTGCGTGCTCGAAACGTCATTAATGACTAAATAAATTATAAAGTAATGGAAGCTCTATTTGGTGTGTGGATCATCTTCTTCTTTTTCGTGTTCACTTGAGTTTTTTGACCCAGCACCCAAATGAAATTTTCTTTGGGATGTGCATGTCGCCACCTCTTTTTTATCACAGACACCCTACCCACAGTAACCGGCTGGCTCATCTTAAAGACCCATTAAGCTTTTTTCAGGGTCATATTGATATAAATATGTAATATTGGGGTCTAGTGGAATAGATTTATGTGCGTTAATATTCAAAATGCACATTTTATGTCTTGTACTGTTCATTGCTGCAGCACCTCTGTCTGAAATGCTGTGTTTGGGCTTATGTCTCACCTCCCCAGCAGCCCAGTCTGCTGTGATTGGTCAGTTCGTTCAGTCTGTTCTGATTGGTGCAACGCTTAGAACATGTGTCGGAAACGTCATGCCCCTTACCTTATCTGACTTCACCTCAGGAGGCTTCCACAAAACATCAATTTGAGTGAAGAAACGTGAGCCAATAGACTCTGAACCTTTTCAAAACACTGGAGCCGGACGTTTCTCCTCAGTGATAAGTTTTTATTTTGTAGCCGTCTTATATTTCAGCTGTAATATAACTGTTACTCATCTGACGTCATGGTAACAACTGTATGTCTGTCCTCTGACTGAATAAAGTTGGAAATGCCTGCTACAGAGAGCGAAAGGTTTCTAACAATATAGTCAGTTACTACAGCACTCAGCTGTTATATGACGTGGTGTAAAGCATAACTCCTTTTCAGACTAATGTAGTTTGTATTGGGTAATAATTCCAAAGTTATTATAAATTCTGCTACTAACACATTCCCTATCAAAACCACAAAAGTTTTAACCCGCGAATTCATCAGTTTTACCACAGCAGATTAAGATGACAGATTTATGTATTATACAAAAACAAATGAATAGAAATAACTGGTACATTGAGATGTCTTAGTTGTCATGTTTACTGAAACTATTCTACTAAAATGTAGCTGTATTTAATAATCATCTTCACCTTGTGTTTGTAATCTACAATATGTACAATGTACCAATGTATCGCAGTTTCTCCACATCATTTATATGAAATCAAAGTTTCATAGTAAAACACATGTTGCTTCCTGGATCAGAATTTGTTCTATGGAGTGATGTTGTCTCCTGAGCCTTTATTTGCTTACCTATAAAATAGTATGCCTTGTGTCTTTTTTACCTATTAGCTTTTGGGGTAATGAACCAGGTTCCAGTTCACCCTACATGTTTGATACACCATCCAGGCCTGGAGCCTAACTGTTTGAATCCATACACCCCACAGAACGTCCACAACATTCACAGGTATGACTATGGACCCCTGAGGCATAGAACTGAAGAAGAGTAAGTTCTTATGACATGTAATGAGATACAACTGTGTAAACTCAATTCTCAACACTAAGGTTTCATTAAACCAAAAAACCCACTTACAAAGAAATGACAAATAAGTCTTTTGTCAAAAGAACTTTATTTTTAGCAAATGTAAAAAACCAAAAACTACAAAAAACGTACTAAATAATATACAATAGATAGACAGCAGTGTTTTATCTGCAACGCTTATAGTGTCTAATTCTTTCCATTCAGGCGTCCATCCTGTCCTGTGTTGGATACGCCAGGAGTTTCCTGATCCGGCTGGTCACTGCGTTGACCTCCAGCTGCCCCTTGGCTGAAGTAAGAGACGTGTAAGACAACCATTCCTCCTTTGAGTGTCCCTCATACTGGAATGCCAGGTCATTTGGGATGGGGATTTTGGGGAAGACGAGCCTTATCAGGTCATCTACAGCCTGTAAAATATTGATTTTGAATATTGATTTCCTTGTGTTTTTAAATTAAGTGTTTCCCTGAATCCACCTTTCTTGTATATAATTCAAGTGTTGTCACAGCTATTTCATATCTTTTATCTGATGTTATGTTGGTAATAAAACTAAAATTCTATATAATTTATTTATTTTTTCTTGCTCTAACATTATAAAGGCAAACGCATGTGATAATGTAATGCAGAATATATATTCTGAAGCTTTTGAGAAACATTTCAGTTCTGTAAAATATTTCCAGGTACTGTATCTCAAACACAAAAACACATATAATTTCTGTGTTACATACCTTTGCTTCTCGGGCTGCTCCCTCACAGCAGCCCTGTACAGCTGTGTGCTGATCACTACCATCTTTTGAGATGCCACAGACTGTGTGCCCACTGAGACTGTTTGTGGAGGGACTGTTTGGCATCCTAAATCCTGGAATCTGGGCACCAGGGCCCTGCTGTGATGTACTCTAAAAGACAAAGGAAAATTAAGTATCTTAAACTGATATTGCACCAAATGAAAACAGTCAACATTAGGGATGCGTATGGGTAGGATTTTATCGATACTACTGCTTTTATCGATACTCCTTATCGGTTCTTTTTCATTTCTAAATAATTGCTTTTTAGGAAATATATTAATTTAAAAAGAATAAATTCAGAACAGGATTACTGAATATTTTGAATGTAACTAAATGCTGTTTCCAGAGCAGCAACAGTTCTTTTTACTAGGGATGGGTCACGATTTTCGAATTTTCGAATAGTCGTTTTATTTTGAAAAATCGATTTTTTAATGCGACTATTACTATTCGCCGTCTTATTTCGCCCCTTTATTTGACATGCAATTCAGCTTCTAACCACACGAGGGCAGTATAGGATTACTACAGCGGTGTGAGATGGGCTACCAGCTAGTTTGATGCTCTTCTACAAACAGGAGAAACATGCAGAGACTACTACAGTCATCAAAAAGTTCCGTGTGGAACAACTTCGACAAAATAAACGAAAATGGGGTGCAGTGCAAACTCTGTGAGGCAAAGCTTGCATGTCACAAGTCTACAACAAGTATCCACAGTCATTTGAGAGCAAGGCACGCAGGAGGCGGCGAGGGACTGTACGGCCAGGCACGTCAGCGGCGCGACACATCTGCAGCGCAAGTCCCGTAGCAGCTCGCCCCCCTGTTAATCAATTACAGCGGCTCCACTGGCAACAACGGACAACCCCCGTCTGTCGCGCGACAACTCTCTATTTTACGTGGCTCTTCTATTTTTGTCGCGCTACGCTCCCCTACGCGACCCTCCAGCAGATAAAAACTACATGAAATAGTGTGCTAAACGAGCACAATGTGGTTTTAAATGAATAAACCATTATCAGAGGTAATATGTGATGATTTTTTTTCATGCATTTACCCATGTTTATCCGTGACATTGTGTAAATGTCCGTGGCGGACATTTAAAAGCAAGCAGATGACAAACAGTACAGTAAACTTGTAGATATTTGAAAAATCGTCGAATAGTTGCCATGATTTTCGAATAGTGTTTTTGCTTGTGCTGCCCATCCCTACTTTTTACGACAGCAACATCACTATATAAATAATATTTTGACATCACAATACTGACTGAAGTTTAGTTTTTATCAGTCACTGTCAGTCCTGCTGTCCTCTTGTCCTCTTTCCTCCTGTCCTCCTGTCCTGCTCCCTTTCTGCTGATGTAGTTCACTGTGTGCAGGTAACATTAGTGTTGGTAGAGAGAGGAAGGGCTGTTTGTCTCAGGCAGTTTGTTTTTCCACAACAAATTCACAACTCATAAAGCATACTTACAGGTTGTGATCCCGAATCTCCAGATTTGTCCAACAAAGGGAACTGCCCCATCTTTAAGCAGTAACTGCTGTGAAAATCCAGCAGTAATCTGTTGCTAGTTTGTGAAGCAGTCCTCAGGAAAATAGAGGGAACACAATTAAATGTCCGGATTGTATTGTGGAGGAATTGTATCAAAAATAAATTCCAACACTTCTGCTTTGTTCCTTTGTCCTTTGGCAGTCCAAACAAGGGTAACAACAAAACGTGCAACAGATTAACAGCACTCTGCTGAAAGTTAACATATCACTATGTTGACTTTCAACATAAAAAAAAAAAAAAAAGACACATTCAGGAGTCTCATCAACAAGAAGGATGGATCTGTAAATACAGCATATTTCTTTATAATTGTTTCTGCAATTATAGTCAGACATAACTCTGACAGACATTTTGTTACCACTGGGTGTCTCTGTGTGCGTCTGTGTGTGTGTGTGTGTGTGTGTGTGTGTGTGTGTGTGTGTGTGTGTGTAATAGACACACACACATACAGAGGGAGTGGACAGAAATTGCCCCAGCTGCTGTAGGCCTGGGACTGAAGGGGCCTGGCCCTTTCTAAAGCAGGCCAGGGCTTTGGACGATCTGATTGGTTAAAATGCCGGGAGTGTGTGTGTGTGTGTGTGTGTGTGTGTGTGTGTGTGTGTG